TTTACTCCTATTTGAACTGTGCCATTTGGAATTTTGCTCACATATTTCAGAAAAAATTGTAATGGTGATTTGCATCTAGATTGAAATATTTATAGATAACGTGGTTTTGATCCATAACAAGAACAAGAGGGTGAGGGAGAAGAGAAAGGGGAGTGAAGAGAAGAGAGAAAAAGTGTAGAGGTGAAGAAAGGGAAAGGTGGCCTAGAAGAGAAACAAAAAGATATACTAGTAATTAAAAAAAAGGATTCAGTTAGATTGGACTAAAGGCCTTAAAAGTCCCTTAATTTAACTTAATGGCTTAAAAGAAGATAAAATCAGACTTTTGAGAAATTTTTAGAACTGATAAAATAAACGTCTCCCAAATTACTAATCATTTAACTTCCACACAGCCAAACACCCCATCTCATTCGTTGGGACAAGGAAAGTTTTACAAAATATCAACAAACTAGTATAACTAACCAACAAATACATAAAAAGCTCTCAATTCTTCACTCAAAGAGTAAAAACCAAATAAATTGGATATCAAAAAAAAAAACCCAATCAAAAAAATTGTTCCATAAAAATCAGGCATCTACTCTCCTGCTAAGGCATCCATAGAAGCCAATATACGAAAAGCCAACAAACATACAAAATTACACTTCCGCCAGAAAATTTTAGAGCATTACTACATAACTAATATATGCTAAACAAACTCTTTTCCGAAAGGATAATAAACAATTTCATTAGAAAGTATTTGAACATAATCTCCAAGATGTCTCCGTTTTTATACATTCTTTCATTGTTTTCAGCATTTCTACGTTTATTTACTGACAATGAAATGAAAACATTCTTGGCTTTCTATGTCGTGGTAGTGTCGGGCACATATTCAATACGACTAGAAGTGTCCTGAATAGTGAATCTAGTCGGTGGATGTTTATTTTGATCTACTTCAATTTTAATCAAAATTAATATTTATTAGGTTTTATTATTAATATTGTTATAAAATATGCTTTGTCTTTAATATATTATATCATTCTGTTATTATCTAAGAAATTTATTATATTATTTTAATTAGTTGTATCCTTACCGTATTCGTGCCCTATATATTCGAATTTTGTCATATCTCCGTGTCCGTATCCATACTGCCTAGGTGCTCATAAAGTAAAAAGCTACTGCTTGGTGTGGCATCAACTCCATCCTTGAAGCACCTCTAGAATGCTGCCAAATGCCATAAACATAGTATATCTACCGTACCTGAGTTTTCCGGTGTTTCCTTGGGATTGGATTCCGCATTCATAAAGGCTAGGAGAGGGCTTAGTGTAGCCCAACCAATACACCAAAAAGGAGAAACTATCAAATCCTTAACATGCCTAATTATTTGATAAAGAAAGATTAAAAGGAATTATTATTGTGTGGGAGGTATTCCTCATAACGACATTTTCCACAACAAATTAATAAAGCAAAAGTAGAAGGCAGTATATACATGGAGGACTTCAAGCTCTAAACAAGCCAAACATTTAAGCCTTACATCAGTTAATGCAATTGCGAAGAAAAATCCAAGCACACAATTACGTATATAAGATGGTGATTGATAACTGTCAACAAGGTGACTGGCCATGAATCCTTCTTCAACTTTGTGGAATCCAAGAGTGAGTGTGGCGAAGAAAATGCCAAAAAACAGATGCTTTAACTTAGTCAAGAAAAAATCAACTAAAAAAAATTTCTTTCATAGTCATGCTCAAGGGGAGAAAATGGCATAGTCATCTATAATATAAAATAGGGCGACTTCAACAAGCTCATCCTACAGTCTCAAATTCATTCATCCAACGGTCAAGAAATTACTTTTTTTTTTCCATTAATATTCCCCCCCAACCGGTCAACGATTATGACTAAATTTAAACACATCCTATGATCTCAAATTTATTCATCCAAAGGTCAATAAATTGCCATTTTTTTCTTAATATTTTTTTCTCAATCAGTCAATGATAACAGCTAATCTTGGAACACAGGACATTCATTAACATTATAATTAAATGAGTTAAATTTGCCATTAATATCATATATATTGTGTAACAATTTGAATTTTTATAAGACATAATAACAACATTTTGATTAAAAAAAAACTCATCAATTTAACAAATAAAAAAAACAAGGGCACTACTTAACACATTTGTATTGAATATAATTAATTTTAATTTTATTTATTTAATTAATTATCTCAAACTAACATGTCTTACACATATCTTGAATTAAAAGTTCAAGACTAGTTTTTTTTATCTCTTAAGAAAATCCAACGCTAATATATTCTTATAAATTAATAATTTATACTAATTAAAAAAATAATATTTTATAAATGATATTTGTAGAACTTTTTTTGATAGAACATATTTTGGCGATATACTTTTTGATAAATTAGATTTTTAATTTATATTAAATTTGACTCGATTTAATTATATGTATATAAATTAATGTTCAATTTTGATTACATGTATATAAATTAATATTTTTTTAAGTCAATTCTATTATATTTCGTGAATTTATCTATAATATAAAATATAAAAGACTTTAATAAGTTCATTTGACTGTCTCAAATAAACTTATCCAACAACCACCAACATCTCTCTAAAAATCATTCACATTAAATTTTACCTCCCTTTTCTCACTCTTCACTCTCTTTCTCTCTCTCTCTATGTGGTATTGGCAGATAGAGGAGGAGTGTAGGACCACCCTGATATATTTTTTTTTAGTTATATATGTTTTATATATTTTTTTAGATATTCTTAATTGGGCCCACCGTAATGATATATGAAAAAAAAATTAATTTGGTCAAACAAGTTAGGTACTAGAACAAAAAAAAAAGTCCATACCAAATCTGTTAAAATTAGTAAACTAAAATTGATTCCTTAGAGTATTGGTATGATTTGTTGGAGCTTCCTTTGATTCAAAAATTATGAAATATATAGCCAAAAATGAGTAAAATATAGAATTTGTAAGAATATTAAATATTATAGAATATTACTTTTATTTGTGTCAAATCTATAATATTAAATAGGACAGACTTCAATAAGTTCATTCGACGATCTCAAATAGACTCATCTACCGGTCTCCAACATCCCTCTCAAAACTATTCACATTGAATTTCTACCTTCTCAAATCCATCATTTCTCACTTACGTTACACCATGCCTTCAGGTACGGATTACCCCTAGTCATAACTACTATAATACTGCACATTGTCTGGAACATGGGTCAAATTGGTACGTGATATGGGTACTGATACGGGGACGAAACCTTCTCCGACATGCAGTGCCAGAGACTAAATCTCAATTGGTGCGTTATTTTGGGTCATGGTTCATATATAAATTAAATAAATTATACATTCACATCCATATAGTTTATAAACAAATACATTATATTTCTAATAAGAGTTCCAAAGCCAAACATAAACTAAGACAACGTACTGACTACTAGTTACAAACAATAAAAGTTAGCAGTTGCATATTTGAATTACAAAAAAAATCAACTCTCAACTCAAAATATGACTTTAAATATCAACAATTTAAAGAAAATGTGATTACAGTTTGGGTTAGGGTAACGTTCAGGGATTACATTAATCGTGGGGTTGATTGGGGTTTAAGTTACAATTTGGGTGATTTGGGTCGCAAACTCACCCAGTTTTGAATCTGTTAGAGTTCTTGAACGGGACTTTTGCTATTGTCAAGAATGAGAGCAGCCATGGAAAATAAATAAATTCCAACCAGCAGAGACCAAGAGAATTACACAGCAACTGTCCAAGCACTAAGGCCAAAACACAACCACACAGCAAGTCCCAAAAAACCCAACAAGAAAACACCACAAAGCAAGAGAGATGGTCTATTTGCAAGCCACTAGAGGAAGACAGCGTCAAGCACAACACCAAAAACACCACAAAGGAAAACGATGTCAGAGGAGGTCACCACAGAGCAACAGAGATGGTCTCTTTGCAAGCCACCAGAGGAAGACGATGTCAAGCACAACACCAAAAATAAGGAACCCAAGCCTCACAGCAGCCCTTCACAGTGTCCGAACCCAAACAGTCAAGCCAAAGAGTACATACAGCACAGCCCACACCTTCAATCCACAAAAAACCACTCAACAGGGCGTGGGTCAACCACAACTGACCACCTAGGCCCTAGTCGCACCTCTCAGGTGTGGAATGAGGTGTCAAAACAGCTCCGATTGGTCTGGGAGAGCAGATTGCAAAATCGAAGCCTTTTTTTCAGAAAATCATTTGAAAATAGAAACACAATCCAAATGGCTTCAAAAAATTGGGCAAAAATTATCATAAAGACCAGCAAGCCGGTCGATCTTCCTGGCATATTCAATCGTCAAAGAAGGCTGACATCATCAAGTCGTCACTGTAACCGATGATGACATCAGCAACAGACAGGATTTTTTTTCTTTTTCTTTTTTTTTTTTTGGGTTGTGAGGTTTTTTTTTTTTGTTTTGGGCAAGATAATGTGCTCTGATACCAAGTTGAATCCGTAACACAAGTATTAGGGTTTGAGAAATAAGGAGAGAAAAGAAGAAGAGAGAAGATGGCTGAAGAATAATAATCTTGAAGTGCCAGCAATGTGCCCTACACTCTCGATTTTATATCAGACAGTGATTGAGAATAATTATACTACTACCCTTACACTGAACCATTATAACTAATATAATATAAAAGAACTCTAACGGAATCGTGTGGCTGGTTTGAGGATGATTGGGTATCACGGTTTCCGTATCTATGATATTGTCGAGCCATATTGTGTAGGATCACCAAGTGAATAATGAGCCTTAAATCTCTCAACTTGGCAATAAAACCAGTAACAGGTGCACCACCAAGAGCAGATCCGAAAAGATCATTGCCAAACGTATTGCATCCACCACATCACTCCAAACACAACGACCCCCTCAACCACCAAAAGAAAGGATAGAAATGTTGCAAATGCTAGCCAGCCAAGAAACATCTACCATAAAGAAGCCTTTGCACACACCCTATCACAAAACATCCCAAACCCATCCAAACCCCTAAAAAGTTCGAAAAAAAAAACAACAAAAAAAGTGTTGGAAAGAAAAATGCTTGAAAAGATAGAATAATAATAGAATGAAGTATAATCACCTAACAGTGTTCAGTGGTATCAAACTATGACAGCTAAACCAGCACAGATAAATGAGAAAATCATAACAATGTTGTTAGGGTGTTTTAAAGCACCAATAACCATTTTCAAAAATCAAAGCTTGATATGATGTCTGTATTCACCTGCAGAAAAGGCCGGCGTAGGAGTAGTTCAGCAAATATACAAGCTGCAGCCCAAACATCCACAACAGGACCATATTGTTTTGCACCAAACAACAGCTCAGGCGCTCTATACCATCGAGCAAAAACCTAATCAAGGGTAAATAGATCTCAAAAACAAATGGTGATGCAGAAGGTTACATTAATCAGTTTCATAAGAGAACAGGACGTCACGAAAGATTTCAACAAGGCAATCACGTATTTCCACCCTTTCCATCAGAACACGTAAAATGACCCAAATATTGATTTATTCACGGGAAGAGTAATATTCACAAGACATGGGAGAGCTGCAGGCGGCTGTGACAGAACTCTCAATTCTGCAAGAACCGGGTCCAAAGCATAAGAGAATCTTTTCCACTCTAGGTTCAATAATCTACCAATCAATACCCATATAACCTCAAATTTTGCAATCATATGTGCAAGCAAGAAAGCCTAGCAGGATTGGTCAACAAAGTTGATCACCAATTGTTAGAAGCAAAATACATACTTGTTACTATGCAAGGCCCAACTTCCTGGTGCCTTCCAACACATGTCTCTTATGAAATTATTTGTCCGCAATGCACACAATATAATCAGACAACATTGCCAATATGACATTTATATAGGAACAGTAATTCCAGATTGCATGAAAACATCTCCCTCTTGCAAACTTTGATCAGGGCGACATCTGAAATTCATATTAGATACATACCTGGTGAGTGAACCTTCGATCTGGGCTCCCAAATATACGAGCTAAACCAAAATCCGCAATTTTAAGCTGTCCATGATGTCCTATCAATAAATTGTTCGGTTTCATATCCCTAAAGAGAACAGGTAGTAAGCAGTTAAAGCAGCCATTTTTTATTTTCTTGTTTTGATGTACAACGACAGAATAACGAAACAGTAAAAATGCACCTATGCAGGACCCATTTTTTGTGGCAGTAAGCAAGTCCTCTCAATGTCATTTGAAAGTAGGACTTTATGTCAGATGGCGAAAGAACAATATTCCTATCTCGAATGACTGCTTCAAGATCAGTCTCCATGAACTCAAATACGAGATGCAAGTTCCCCTTATGAAAAAAGACATCGATCAACTCAATTATATATGCATCCTTCAGCTCTTTCAGCAATTTAATCTCTCTAAGTGCAGTGACATTCACCCCCTCCTTCTGCTTTCCCAGACGAATCTTCTTAATAGCAACAGTTTGTTCTGTCTACACTTAAAAGATATCATACTGTAAACAAAACTTGAAAACCCAAAAACATTTAACATCATTAAAAGCAAAACAGCATATCAAAAGCCCTGAAACTCAACAACAGCTTTTAAAAAAGACACTATTCAAAACTCAAATTCAGAACCCATGAGGTATACACATTTGTATATACAATAAATCTTCTAGCCATCCTTAATAAATCACATGTTGACTAATTAGGGAACAAATTAGTCTCCATTAACTGATGGTGGTGGAAGGAGTGAACTGTTAATGTTGGAATTATTTGCACAAATTGGCTGCCCTCGTATTCAAACCACAATTTCACTTGACCGTATTTAGCTGATAATTTTACAACTACGCACAAGGCAAGGACCCCTAAAATTGAACTGACCCTGAATTCTTAGTCCATAAAATTTCAAAATAATACAGCAGAACCACTACAACTGCTAGTGTAGATTGAAAACAGTATGTTTAGTTGCTAAGAAAATGTAGGAGTAGGACCCAGAAAGAAATGTTATTAACGTTTAAAATTGAATCATCGCATGATTCAGAACCCCCAAAAATTAAGCCAAAACAGTTTCAAACGATAACCGGAAAAGCAAATAACCACACACAAAAAAAAAATCAAACCTCGTGCATCTTTTACTTTTCCTGAATTTTCCGGGCAGCAAACAAACAGGGCATAAAATTCAAAAATTAGCACAATGATTATAGGAGAAACCCAGGAATTAAAGAAGAAAAAGTGGTAGATAAAAGAAAAATTTAATAAAAGAAAAACATAAACCTTGGTGTCGATGGCTTTATAGACGACGCCATAGGTGCCTTCGCCAAGAACTTCACGCTTGAGATAGCGATCGGCAACTTTCTTTGTCAAAGTCTGATCCGCCACAGACATGGCCGTTGTTGTTTCTTGAAGTGGATGTTGTGACTGATACATACACTTCCCAGGAACGAGTACGAGTCACTATTTCTAAAGAAAAATTAAAAAAAAATTAAAAAATACTGTAATATTTTGAGAGAAATAAATAAAAATATAAAAAATATATTGGAGTGTTTTTATATCTATATTTATATATCTATCTATCTATCTCTTTATATCTGTATCTATGTATCTATACTATTTATAAAAGTTAACAAACTAGAAAAACTTTTTCTTTCCAATTTTATCCTTGTGTAATATTATTAAGTCAATTCTATTATCGGAATCAATTTAAAATTTCTTTACTTTATCTTTGTTAACCTTTAATCTTCCGTTAATATCCAAGGAATTACTACTACATAAGTTTATTAGTTCAAAAACATTTTCAATTTAAAAAACCTATTAATATACCATACATAAAAATCACCTAACTTCTTAGTTAGTAATATTTTAAGAGTAATAGTAGATGGATTTAAAAACTAGACTTGATAATCTCAATCATTGAATAGGTAGTGGATTTTAATAAATGCTGAGACCCACAGTAAAATCAATGGTTGAGATTTTCAAATCTAATTTTTAAGTCCATATAGCATTGCTCATATTTTAATGTCCACTCTGCCGTTTAACAATAGCAAATTCACTTTAATGGTGTTGAGTGATCTCTTTCATAATCTCCCCACTTCTCACGGAAAAGTGGAGATGCATTTGTTGGCACTACTATAATAATTGTTTCTGCGTTTTAGTTAGACACTACAAATTCTATGGAAGAAATTAATGAATCAGTCTCCTTATAAAACCTTCTCAACCTCTTTAAATATGGACATTCCGTAATAATTTCTAAATGGTTTAAATACCATGTCTTCTCTCCTTCTAAACTTCCCACACAACACTAACCAGTAGGAATACTCACACACACAATGCTTTGTGGTCGAATTAGCCATGGATGAGAAACTTCAAAGATCTTGAATTTGAAAACCCAAAGGAAAGTGGAGAATAACACAAAAACAGAGACAAAGGCCAAAGAATATGATGATGCGTGATTTGATGAATAATATGGAGATGTATATGGGCAAGTGAGCCAATTAGAGTTTAATTGGAGCACAGTTAAGTGATTCCAAGAATCGCAATCGGAAACACTATCAATAAATTTGCCACTTCAGGTGCTAGAGACTAATCTCCAACCCAAATTTGGTGATTCCTCTTACCCACTTTTAGTCACGGGTATGACGAATTATTATATCACAACTATTCAAGTTCCTAATGAGTATGCACCCAAATTTTTTGACTCTGACTTTTCGTATTGATATGTTATTTATAGATTTTTATATTTTCTCTAAATTACTTCTTAAGATCAGATTGCTCATGTTTCAGACTCGTACATTCATACATATATAGATATCATAAATGTGTCTGTAGTGAATATATTGATGAATTCCAGCTAATAAAGTGTCAATGGAAAATAACAATGTGGTTCGTTTTTATAAAATTAGGTATAATTTTTTTTTATGTAGAATACTAAAATTGAATAATATACAAATAATTGAACAAAGAAATAGGAAGCATATAAAGATTACAAATACAAAAATTTGTCCGACAAAGCGACACATTTGCTATTTTGGACCACTTTGTTACCTTTTTGTCTGATTAAAAATTAATATTTGAAAATTTAATCTTTCAGATGTCAATTGGAAATCTAAAAATCTTTTTTTTCGAGTGCAAAGTATCATTCACCTAAACTATTATAACTAAATGCCATATTGCCATTTATGTCTCTTAGTTTGTTATTGGATGTGCTTTGCTACTGTTTATTAATTAGATCTAGAATTGAGCTTGGTTTGGATTGGATGTTGAACATTGCTACTGTGTTTCTCATGACCGACTGCTACACCTGGGTCAAATCTGGCTTAGTTAATTCTTCTTTCTTTCTCCTTCAAATATGACCCTTTACTGGCAGGCTGCAGAACAAAAAATAAAATAATAGTAGCCTCCTTAGATGGGTGTGCTTCCAATTTAAGTGGATTTCTCAATTATACCTATAAGAATTAAAATAAAAAATTTCAGGTACTAGATAAAAATAGATAATGACGACCAAACTAACACAAAATCACCCATACTTTANGCAGGCTGCAGAACAAAAAATAAAATAATAGTAGCCTCCTTACTAGATAAAAATAGATAATGACGACCAAACTAACACAAAATCACCCATACTTTAGGAATGATTAATGTATGTTCTTTTTTTTCCATCTATCCATCTTGCTTGTGTTGCAGTACGTGTACGCGATGCTCTTGTTATGTTTTCATTGTTGATAATTACCCTTTCTTTACATCTATATGTTATACCTGAGAAGGAAGTAATAAAGTTTTTAGCTTAGATTTGCTNTGTTGCAGTACGTGTACGCGATGCTCTTGTTATGTTTTCATTGTTGATAATTACCCTTTCTTTACATCTATATGTTATACCTGAGAAGGAAGTAATAAAGTTTTTAGCTTTGATTTGCTTCTAAAATAGAGGTGAGGTGATAAATTTTACAAGTAACTTTAACCCTTTCCTTCCAAAACATAAGAATTTGTGTGGTATTCTTTGTTGCGAGTTACGAAACCCGTAAAAGTACATTTTGACCCACTCACCTATGACTCTTTTTTNTAGATTTGCTCCTAAAATAGAGGTGATAAATTTTACAAGTAACTTTAACCCTTTCCTTCCAAAACATAAGAATTTGTGTGGTATTCTTTGTTCCGAGTTACGAAACCCGTAAAAGTACATTTTGACCCACTCACCTATGACTCTTTTTTCATATTGTCCTCTCAACTATCTTATTTTTCATATTGAACCTTCAATTATGTGATTAGTTTCACATGACCCCAATTACTAACATTTGTAAAAAAATGATGGAATGTATGATTTTTTTTTTAGTTTGCCACAACACACACTGATGCCCCTCTAATTATGTTTCACTTTCTGGTGTTTTTTTTTTGGCAACAGATGTTATTCAATTCTTGAGCCTTGGTCTACANGCACCTTCAATTATGTGATTAGTTTCACATGACCCCAATTACTAACATTTGTAAAAAAATGATAGAATGTATGATTTTTTTTTTAGTTTGCCACAACACACACTGATGCCCCTCTAATTATGTTTCACTTTCTGGTGTTTTTTTTTTGGCAACAGATGTTATTCAATTCTTGAGCCTTGGTCTACATATAAGAGGCACAAGACGAGGCTTTTTGTGGCCGAATTGTCTTGATACTTTTGGGTGGCACCTCACCCCCTTTCTTTTTTCCTGTACTAGTAGGTTACCATGTTTTGAATTGTTTTTTATAATAGTAATATGAGGATCACTTTCGATATCCGAAGTGCAGTGGTTGCGGGACATTGTAGTAGAACTGGCTGGATTTTGTTAGTAGAAGGTAGCCAAGTTGGTTATTACAATGTAAAGACAAGAACATTTTAGGGATTCATCAAGAAATTACATCTGGATTGATTCTAATAGAGGGCAGCTGCATGTTTTAAGCAATTGGGCACTAATGGGATTGGGACCTATGGTTTGGAGAAGTGAGGATTTGGGTGAGACATTTGTTAACACGGAGATGATTGGTACTGCTTCTGGTAATGAAAACCATTATTTGGTAACACAAAGGCCTGGTCATGAGTTTGAGGTGTACAAGTTGGTGATAGACCCAACTTATGTTGAAGTGGTTGAATGTGACAATTTGAATGGCTATAATTTATACACTTCTAATGGGGGAACTGGATTTATCAATGCAGCTGGCCAATTTGAGAGCGCAAACGTGTCATCAATTTGGAGTCACGATTGCATAAAATTTAAAGGTGATGGTCAGATACATGGCTTCACACCTGGCTGAAACTCAGGAAACCATTTAAAAAACCTAAACAAGAATCCTCCGATATAGGTTGCATCTTTTAGCCAAGTTTTGACATAATCTTCGTAAAGATTAAAACGAATCACAACATGAGGAAGATCCAAAATTCCTACCATAAATTCACCCTTAAGCAATCATCTCGTACCTATGAACTCTCCTATCACCCCCAAAGAAGGCTTTCCATATGCACACTTCCCAATTAAAGTTTGATGAACAGTCCAATACATTCCAGGTTCACCATTGTTAAAGACAACCCTCTTCGCTGGTCTAGAATTGATTGCAGAGATCACCGGAGGCTTTGATGATTCAGAACCTTCTTTTTGCGAATTATCCTTCAACACTGTAGTTTCTTGATTTTCATAATCAAGGTGATTCAAAGGCATCAAAGAATTCGATGAATTCTTGAAAAGAGATGTGAAGTTCTTTGTGATATCAGGAGGTGTGGGTGGAATCAGCCGCTGATTATGGTTAAAATTCATGGTAATTAGCAAAAAATCAAAGACGATTGAAGAAAAAAGAAGAGAGAAGTAAGAGTTTCTCTCTCTAGAACACACAAGCCTCCGAATGATGATGGTTGGTCTTTTGACGTAAAAAAAAAATTCCAAATATCCATGGTAGTTTCTCACTGCATCATTTTGTTTTTTTACAATAATATCCAAAGAGAAATTGCCAANCAAGCCTCCGAATGATGATGGTTGGTCTTTTGACGTAAAAAAAAAATTTCCAAATATCCATGGTTGTTTCTCACTGCATCATTTTGTTTTTTTACAATAATATCCAAAGAGAAATTGCCAAAAAATAAACCAGAAGGCAACTTGCTAGACTTTGTCATCTGAATAGACAGGTGGGCTCATCTTCCTTTTCAAATCCAGTCTTTTATCTTGTGGCAAATTCATCTGGTTTTTCATCTCTTCCGCGCCCTGTGTCCTACTTCTTTCCCCAGAGTTCTGATGTGCACAAAACCAAATAAATTCTATTGTTTGATCTAGCAGAACGATAAAATGTGTGTAACATTTACTACTTATACTTCGTTTTTGGCTTCCTGCTTTGTACCAGTAGAGTAAAACAATTACAAACAAAAGAACAACTTCTTGGCTAACAACAAAGCTACATGCATACAACTAACTCTTACATCTGTAGACCAGAAGAGTCAAAAAATTCCATAGCACAAATAATAATTTTAAAACTTTTCAAAAAGCACCAAATGTCAGTAGCACAAATATACCTCTGCTCAGAAAATTGACTGTGCAGAGTTAATATAAAATTGCAGTAGTAGATGCAAAAGTTAAGAAAACCGCATCATTTTGTTTTCTTTCATTATCGTTTTGTTTACGACTGAAACATCCAAAAAGAAATGGCCAAAAAGTAAGCATTTAGGCACCTTGCTGGACTCTATTCATCTGAATTAGCAGGTGTGCTCATCTTCCTTTTGAAACCCAGCCTCTTATCTGGTGGCAGTGCCATTACATTTCCAGTTTCTTGTTTACTATTTCTTTTCCTAGCTTCCTAATGTTAAGAACTAACAGATTACTTTCGAGATTTAATCTCACTGAAATGAAAATGTTAACAAAAAAGGAAAAAACTAACAACACCATTTAGCTTCCGCTGTATATTGTTGTAGCAGTAAGACATTTGCAAACAAATGATAGAATGCATTAAGGGACAAAACCATCTAATATAAGCAAAACAAATTGCTCACCTCATCTATGATCTCAGAGTATTTAGTTGCGCCAGACAAAACAAAGTCGGTGGAATTTTTGGGATATTGAACCATCATTTCATTTGAGCACTTGGTGCAATTGGTATAAAGCCTCAATCTAAAAACAGCAGAACTCTGCAAATCATTTAGACGTTAATGAGATGAGAAACAATTTCATGTTATCGGCAGTAATTAACTGCATTCATCAAAGTACATGCACATACCATATGCTCAGTTCTCTACCAAAGCCAAATCCATTTAAAATCTTAAATTATTGTGACATAAAACCACATTTATTATTAATGTAAATCCTAACTAACCATCATAAGAAATTACCCACTCTATTTACCTTACCTTAATTAACCCATTTCATTGTCANACTTCTCTACCAAAGCCAAATCCATTTAAAATCTTAAATTATTGTGACATAAAACCACATTTTATTATTAATGTAAATCCTAACTAACCCTCATAAGAAATTACCCACTCTATTTACCTTACCTTAATTAACCCATTTCATTGTCATTCATTAGTACTATTTTTAATAACAAAATATGCAATCAATCACTCAGGATAAAAAATATTACTGTTCTAATCAATTAAGTTGGAAAAGGGACAAAGGGTTAGGTTGAGGCCAAATGCTATGCCTTAGAAACAAACACGAATTCCAGAAATCTTCAACACTCTGACAGTTTAATTGATATCAAAGTGGGTCATAGTAAAAGAGAGACAACACAATTATCAATGAAGTAGACAAAACATTTAATATAGATATGTTTACTATGTAGTCTAATGTAGTGTCCTTATTGTCATAGCCTGGAATATATCTATGTCACAGAATATAAAAACAGCAGGTCTCCCAATATATTCCCTCCTGACCCTTCATTCTTTCCTCTCTCACAGAGGAGCTGCTTGATTTATTTCAGATAAAAGTGTAAACAACATGTCTATATTCATATATCATGCAGAAACATATAATTACCATGCCAATCGGAAAGGAGTATGGATATTTAATACATTTATGAGGGATAGCACATCCAAGTTGATGATGGGATGGGATGGGATATTAGTAAAGTCAGGGTAGGATGGGCTAATTACCACCGCTACCCACTGTTAAACAACGTGGACACCACAAAGAAGGCCCTACCATTGCCTTGGCAGTACACAAAGGACCAGAAATATTCGTTTACTGTGCACAGATTTACATAGACTTCGCAGAAATTAATGTAAAACTCAGGCCAATGGTCCAAAGAAAATAGTATTCGGCTGAACATTTCGAAATAACAAACAGTTTTCGTCCAATTACGAATTCAAAGACGTGTACACCTATCAACTGTGCCTCTACTCACATTGGGCTCATCAGCACGGTGGAAATGTGGCAAGAGTCGCAGATCAAACCTACTAGAACATGAAACCTTCCTTGGAGCGATTGGCTTCGCCTCGTGACTGGAGTATATCTCAACGTAGTATAGTCTTCCATCTCCTCCATCTCCAACGCCGAACACACCACCTTCACACACAGGTTGCAGGTTTCAACCCCCCACGCGGACGGTTGAAGCTAGGGTAAGACCGACATTCCTTACTTAAATGGGAGAATTGCATTTAGGCCACATAAGGTTCGTTAATTAATTACTTAGACCTTTTAAAATTTTAAATATTATACACAAACCTTTTAAAATTTATATGTACTAGCGGTTAGACCTCTATAATCAATGGTTATCTCTATTAATAAATTATATTCAGACCTTTTAAAATTTATAAGTATATAATACTTAAATTCATTAAATTTAAAATATTACACTTATACCACTTATTAANTCATCAATGGTTATATCTATTAATAAATTATATTCAGACCTTTTAAAATTTATAGGTATATAATACTTAAATTCATTAAATTTAAAATATTACACTTATACCACTTATTAATTATAAAACTAACGAAATATATAATTGTAATAGATAATAGATAATTGTATACTAATTATAATTTTTTTTAAGAAAAAATGAATTTTTATTTTTAATTTTATTTAAATAAATGATATAATATAACATAAATTTTGATTGTAAAATTTAAAGTATTTGATATTCTATTTTTTATTAGAGTATTTTTTGTCTAAGTATAGTATTTTAAATTTGAGTGGTCTTAATATTACATGCCTAAAAACTTCAAGAGATTTGAGTGTAATTTACTAATGGATATTGACAGCAAGTGTTTAATTGTTACGCGCAGAATTTGTGTATAATATTTTAATATCAAAAGTTTAAGTGATTAAATGACAAACCTAAGAAGATCTGGATGTAATTCTCCCAACTTAAATTTAAAAAGGATAAAATATAAGCATTTCATTTTTCAAGAAATCTCACCATTAAAAATTTTTGTATAAATTTGAGTTTTTCTATATTTGAGTAACCAATGAATCTCGTTTCATTTAATATGGATATGAATTTAGTATTGGAGAAGAATTTTATGAGTTTTTTTACTTAAATTTAAATTTGAGTTTAAAAAATGTAAAGATCGGAGATACTTTATATTTACCAGCAAAAAAATACTTTATATTTGGATACAATTCTAAAGACTTAAATCTAGATCCACCTTATCAATCAACTTAATACTCTTGGGGTATGTTGGGATCGCGAGTTAAAGGTGGATAACTATGGTAGGATAAGATAAAAAAAAAACATGTGGGGCACACATATCCCACATTTGGTAAGTAAAAAATGCACAGAAAATCCCTATTCAGATGATAGCTGAGTGGATTTGAATTGAATAGGAAAAGATATATTTTTAGATATCCAACTCACTTCAACCTTGTCATCCAAACATATCCCTGGTGTATTTGAATCCCATGGGAGAGATTCAAAGTGAAGAATTAGGAAAGGTTTCAACTAAACAAAAAAATTCCACATTATCAATTTGACAGATTAATCTTCTATCACCTCACTGTTGCCACCACCACCACCATTATCCTGTTCGACACTAACATTACCACCACAATCATCATCATCGATGCCAACACGACCCGAGAAGGCATCACCACCTAAACTTCAATTCCACTACAACCAAACCATTGTTGACATAATTGTTACTGACATCGTCGCGACCATAAAAAAGATAATTGAATTATTTTAATATACCTCACTGTTCCCACCACCATCGCCATAATCCTAATCGACACTAACATCACCACCACAATCATCATCATCGATGCCAACACGACTTGAGGTGGCATCATCACCTAAACTTTCATTCCACTACAACCAAATCATTGTTGTCATAATTATTATTGTCATCGTCATTACCATAAAAATGATATTAGAATTTGATGATGCACAAATCGGTATTACGCAAAATCAACAGTCGAGTATATGAACGGATGCAGTTAATGAGCAATAAATAAAGCAATTAATGATAATCAAGAGCTAAAGCGGTAACGCAGGCAATCAACACAACGAATTATAGCGGTTAGGTCCGGGTGACTTACTCTATTCTCGGGAACGGCTGCAATGGCGAGAGGTGTTTTATTGATGAACCAAAGTTGTAAGGAGAGTGTCCTCCAAGGGAGTTATAATACTTTGGGAGAGGGGAGCAATGTGTCAGGGGTTTCAGAAGCGTCCCCTCAATATTGAGTGGGCGTACATTATATAGTTAGGGTAAAGCGATGAGACGGCGACATGAGTGATAGATTTTTCCACCATTTTGGTAAGTGGGCAATCATGGTAATTTTATATCTCCATCCCGACATTCTCTCCCTCGTGCTCCTATTCTATTGGAAGAAGACCCTAAGTTGGATTGGGCTTGATCCTGAGCTTGGACATTGAGTTGAAGTGGACTGGACATGCATTGGTGTGAAGAAGACTTAGGAGGATTAGGGGGCAGCCTTGGGCGACGCCTGGCTTGGGTAGCCCCCTTGGCGGTGCCCCAAGTGCTTTGGGCATTGGTTCCTTGGTGCCTTTTTGGATTCCCTCATGACGGGTCGACCCAGCTCCAATTGGGCTTTCCTAGTTTATTTAAATTAGGCTTGACCTAGTCAAATTTGGGCTCATCATTTGCCTCCCATGCCCCAAGCCTCTGACTTTTTGCCAGAGAAAAGGGTTGTGGGTATATGTTTCGTTCCATTCGAGTGAGTTGAAATTTTTTTTGCTTCCCACTGTACATCTTCGTCTTTAATAACTCTTCTAAGTTTACAGATATCAGATTGTTTTATTTTATTTTTTTTGGGCGTGGGCCGCCCTGGGCGCAACTTCCTACTTCTTCTTCTTCTTCTTCTTTCTTTCTTTTCTCTTTGGGCGTAGGCCTCCCTAGGCATCGCCTCTTGGTTTTTTTTTTCTTCCTTGGGCGTTGTTCCCTTTGTCTCTCACTTTTTTTTTCTTTTCTTTCTTCCTTTGGCCTGGGCGCCGCCCCTCATCTTCTTCTTCTTCTTTTTTTTGGGCAACAATAGAGGCTACTGTGGGCGCCACCTGGAGGCTGGCAGACGCCTGGGGCGATGCCAAGAGGTTGGTAGGGCACCTTGGGCAATGCTAGGAGGCTAGGTAGATGTATTGCCTTGGGCGACGCCAGGAGATCTTGGGCACTGCTATGTTTAGGGGACGCCTAGAGTCTTGCTATAGGCAGCGTCTCTCTAGTGTTTGGTTGCTAAGTGACCTTGTCTCTAATTATAGGCGCCCTATTGACAGAGCGATGGTGGAGACTCTCTTGTATTTTTAGGGTGGTGTCTTTTCCTCCTCTCAAGAGGAGGTCCAATGCCCCCAGTACTTTTCGACCGAGGTTTGCTTTGATGGCCAAGTTGCTTCTCGGGAGTGGGATTCGATGGTGTCCCTCTTCTTTCCCAAATTGTGAGTTCTGTGTATACCAGAACTAACTCTTATACCGTTGCAGGAGTTGAGACTCTAGTGTGATTCTTACGGGGATCATAGCTTTACATAACTATCATGCTTCTAGTAGTGGCTCGGTGTCAATCTAGCATAGTCCCGCGGGTTATAGTGTGTCTAGCAAAAATAATGATATCTTAACATTAAAATATCTAACATGATTACCTAAAGAGAGAGACAGACTATTTGCATGAGAGCAGAGTCAGAGATGTGGACGTCCCGTGAGAGGGTCGCATGAACTAAAACCGAGCTACGCATTATCTTGTGGGATGGCTGCCATGACAGAGGCTTGTCACACATAGGCCAAGTTATGTATAGTCTCGGGAGATAACTGTTGTAGCAAAGGCTTACAAGGTGGCTACATGCGTGAAAGCAAGTCATATGACTGTCATAGCAGAGACTTACAAGGTCACTACATGCACGAGAACAGAATCATATGGCTGTCGTAGTAGAGGTTTATAAGGTGACTACATGCGCAAGAGCAGAGTCATATGACTGCCATAGTAGAGGCTAGATAAGGTCGAGCTTTTTTGCAACTCGCGAGAGAGTGCGAAGCTGGAGATATAGGCTGCTGAAGAGAAGTTGGTTCTTGAGTAGCAGACACGAGAGGATAACGTTGGGCTTGCACGATAGGCACGAGAGGATGTCGTGAAGTTGTTAGGGCTCGAGCAGTAAGCATGAGAGGATGCCGCTGAGAAGTTGAGGCTAACACATAAGAGGGTTGCCCAACTTTGAGGCTAACTTTCGAGTAGCACTTGAGAGAGCTACTAGGATAGAGGCTTACTCCATAGAGATGGAGAAGATGATGAGGACGCCGAGGAGATGAGTAGGGTGCTAAGGAGCTGGGCGTTTGGTGATAAGCGCCTCTTGTCGGGCGCAGATGCCAAGGGGCTCTAGGCGTCTTTGGGTGCAGACGTCGAGGAGCTTTGGGCACGAACGCCACTGGGTATGGACACTGAGGGGTGATGGATGCCTAGTGATGAGCGCCTAATTCTGGGAGTCTGGGTGCCTAAGTCTGCGCCTAATGCTGGGCACGGACGCCGAGGGGTTCTAGGCATCTTTGGGTGTAGATGCCGAGGAGCTCTGGATACGGACGTCGCTGGGTACGAAAGTCGAGGGGTGCTGGGCGCAGATGCCGAGGGGCGATGGGTGCCTGGTGATGAGCGTTTCCTGCTGGGCGCATAGTGATAGTGCTGGGCGCCTGAAGCTAAGAGGGCCACTATTGATTTCTCTAGCTTCATCTCCTATGGGGCACCATCCATAGTTGGTGACGGGGAAGAGCCTTGATGATAGTGAAGAATATAACAACTGTTGTCTTTTTGTATACCTTGTTGTTGGCTCATTGATCTAATCGTGATTGTCATGGATTAAGAGAGTAGAAAACTAGTTATTTTTCATAGACAGTGTCAAACTGATGATACACAAATCGGTATTGCACAAAATTAACAGTTGAGTATATGAATAGGTGCCGTTAATGAGCAATAATTAAAATAATTAATGATAATCAAGAGCTAAAGCGGTAAATAGACAATCAACACAACGAATTATAGTGGTTCGGTTCGGGTGACCTACTCCACTCTCGGGAACAGCTGCGGTGGCCGGAGGTGTTTTGTTGATGAACCAAAGTTGCCAAGAGAGTGTCCTCTGAGGGGGTTATAATACTTTGGGAGAGGGGAGTAAGGTGTCAGGGGTTTCAGAAGCATCCCTTCAATGTTGAGTGGATGTACATTATATAGTTAGGGTAAGGCGATAAAGTGGTGACGTGAGTGAGAGGTCTTTCCATCATTTTGGTAAGTGAGCAATCATGGTAAGTTTAGATCTATATCCTGACATTCTCTCTCTCGTGCTCCTATTCAATCAGAAGAAGACCCTGAGTTGGATTGGGCTTGATCCTGAGCCTGGATGTTGAATTGGAGTGGACTGGACTTGCATTGGAGTGAAGAAGATGTAGGGGGCAGCCTTGGGTGGTGCCCCCTTGGGTGACCCCCTCAGCGGCGCCCCAAGCGCTTTGGGCGTTGGCCTCTTGGGCGCTGGCCTCTTGGTTCCTTTTTGGATTCCCTCATGATAGGTCGACTCAACTCCGGTTGAGCTTTCCTAGTTTATTTAAATTGGGTTTGACCCAGTCAAATTAGGCCTCATTATAATTATTTTAATATATATATATATATATATATATATATATATTTATATTTACTAGCAATGTACCACGTGCGTTGCACGTGAATAATTTTATATATAAAAATTAATAAAATATATAGGTATATGTGTAGTTGAATTAAATATCATCTAAAATTTACCAAACTTAATTTTTTATTGTTCATAATTAAAAAAAAAAAAAAGAAATACTAAAAGTTCTATTTTTTTGAATTTTGTGATTGAGATTGATTTTTAGTGATATTTAAAAAATTAATTTTTTGAAAAATCATTTGATTATGATTTCACTTATAATTCCTTAAATAAAATAAAAGTAATTGTCAATATACTAATTACATTGGAACCTTACTGTAATTAGAAATTAGTTATGTCAATTGGAATAAGATTTAATATACTATTTTATAATATATAATATTAAGCATACTAAAATTCTAAAAAAATTAAGTTTTACATTAAAATACACTACAATATCTATTTTTACATAAAATCTTAATACAACTTAAAAAATTTATTGTGACTAAAGAATTATATTGATATAACATAAATTAATTTTAAAAAATTATATGTATGATTATTTTTATCTCAGAAATAAAAAAGTTAAATTTTTTGATAAAAAAAAAATATACATATGCAGACATAATATTATCTCTGCATATGACATTAGTAATATTAAATTGATAGAGTTTTTGAAAGTTTTTTGAACACTTTGTTGAAAATATAATGATGCATATTTTTTTAAGGGTAATATAATCAATCAAAACATTTTATAGAAACTAATTAAATAATTAAAAAAGATGTTATAGATAATTTAAAAATTTAAAGACATAAGGATATGATGGTAATTTAGATATTTAATTATGAAATGATAGAGTAGTCTTTGTAAAACTTTATAAGGGTAAAATGGAGATTCAAAAGTTTTTCATCTTAAGGTACTTTTATTAGTAGTATAGATAGATATATTTTGTATATAAACACCTAACGAGATGGGGTATTTAGATAAGTGAAAATTAATCATATCGTCTTGTTTTTTACAAACAAAACACCAATTGTGAAAGTAATTCAATCTCATTTTTTGTAACACAACCCTATTATCTTCTTGGTAGACTTTAGGTTGATGGTGTTAGGTATTTGCTCATTTATAATTAGCTAATTATATGAAGTTACATTATAAATCTCAACCTAAGTTCATGGTCATGATACTTCAAGTTCAAAATCTAAAAGTTAAAAAAATAAAGGAGTTCAAGCTTTAAAGCCATGTTATGAAGACCTCCCTTAAACCTTCAAAGTTTAGGAAAGGTAACGACCTAGATACCTTAAGACTCTTGGTTTTATACTTTAGCTCATCAGATTAAGTTTAAAGAATAATCCATGAATGACTTGTAGACTTTTTCATGAAAGTACTTTTAAAACATCTAAACTTGTTTTGAAAATATAGGTTGAGTCATGTATCGGACCCTTATTGAGTAACACTCCTTAGTACTCAATGACGCAAATTTTTGCTTAATTTTTGGCTTAAAAATCAGTAGAAACCGTCCTTTTTTCGTTTGCCTTAACTAATCAACTAATCAAAAACAGGTTTTTTTACGGTTATGGTAGTCATCTCTCCCTTCCTCCCCCTTCTCTCTCTTTTGAGTAATGAGACTGAAAGCTAACTCTCTCCCTCCCCATGTGTCTCTATCTTTATGCTTTAATAAATATTGACATTGGTGTGGAACTTAATTTTCCTCAATTTAAGATCAAGCAGATTTATAAAAGATTGATGTGGTAGGTCGAGTATTCGCCATAATTGAGACTAGTTTAAAAAATCTATAGATTTTGTACACACAATATACATAAAAAATTACCAAAATTTAAGGGTGGGCCAGGGTGTAGATTCTCCCTTGTAGCCTACCACAAGATGTGCTCTCTCAACTTCTCTTTCTTAACCCTTGAAGCTAACCCCAAAATGATGGTTAAATTATACAACGAAGAAGGTGGTGCAAATCACACACACCACATTTTTTCTCTATCTCCGCCCTTATTGCTTCCATGTCCTTTTTTTGTCCAAAACATGCCCACTTTGTTTCTACATAACAATTGGATGATTGGAGATTAGCGATTAGGAGATAGAATAGTTTTTGAGCTTAATAAGTTAACAGGGTTCCTCAAGTTGTCGCCATCATTGTGGGTGATTGGATCTACCCGATTTATATCAGATCTGGATGTCTCAATCAACCTAGCAACTTGGTGGGCTTTGACAGATGTAGCCATTTTTAGGAGAGATAGATGGTGGTGTACATGGTGTCTGTGATGCGCTGGTCAACATCATGGCATCAAATTGAAGTGACCGGTGTCTAGATTTGAGGCAAGGGTTCATCAAATTGCTTCTTTTTGTATTTTTTAGTTGCATGCTTATGTATTGGGCGGTGTCTAGGGTCCTCAAAATCTTTGTTGAGAGACAGATGGGGGATGTTGGTGGTGGTGCCAAGGATGGTTGTACCATGGTGAAAAGATGGGGGCTGGAGGAGGGCTTTTGGAACTACCCCTATATGTTTTTTTATGAAGCCATATCCCCTATAGACCATGTGAGTCATTTTCTATTTTGATATTCTGGGATTGCTTCTTAGAATTAGTCTGCATGAAGCCTTTTGAAAATCATATTGACAAGGAGTTTTTACACATTGCAGTGAAACTGACTAATCTAAAAATCATTCAACACAACTGCCCCTCTGTTTTCCTGAATCAAAACAATTAAAGATGCATTAGTGCTCTTCTCTAGCTCCTCATCTTGTGGAAATCACCACCACTAGGATACTCTCCTCAACACATCTTAAAGCAACTAAAAGAAGGCCATGATCATCCTAGCTGGCTGTGAACTCATCCTTTCTAATGTTCGCTTTGGTCAATTGTACCGAAAACCATCCCATATATCTTTGGTGGCTACCCCACAAATCCCTTTAGAAGTTCTTGAAGAAGTTTGCAACACCAACCTTATTAATTCATCTCACCTTTGCTCTATCACTGGTTTTCCTTCCAATATGATCTAATTTCCTACAATTGTTTTTTAATCCTCCTTTATCTGCAGAGGTTTTACTTTGAGCTCATTTTTTTCATGGATTCAATTCTACAAAGTTCCTTTTTTCTCCCCCCTCTTACCCTTCCTTCTATGAGGAGGTACTCCATTTTCATCAAGCTCCTCATTTCCCTCAATGCCCTAGTTCTTTTATCGTCCAAGTTTCTAGACACCGCTTTGTTTCTACATTTTCAAGTTTTCCTTAATTTATGGATTTCATTTTTTTGTTTGAGAAACTGTTAACTATTCTACAAGTGATGCAAACTGTACATTTTGTCAATCCCTATTTTGATGTAATGGCCCCATTTAGGGGATTATGTTTTTGCTTGACAATCTATAGGAGGTATGGGGTAGGCCTCCTAAATTTAAAGGGATGCAAGATACCCTCAGGTTTTAAGAGTAGCCAAACTTGATTACAGATAGTTTGGGTAGGACTGGAGCTATCTCTAAGAGGTTTCTTCAAAAAATATTCTCTTTGAAGTCTTTAGACCCTGGAATACTGGATGGGTGAAGTTTATAATGCTCTTACCACTTGAAATCTTGTTGGTTTCTTAAGGAAGGGAATCTCATCCTGCTTTATTACTGTATATTCTATCAACTAAGCTGAAATGTAATCCAACTTTTCTACGTGCCAAAAACCAAATTAAATTTCAGCTATTACGCCAATAATTATTTTGGAATGGGAGGTGTCCCTCAGGAAAGTGCTTCCTGTCAAAATTTCCAACAGACTTCTGATTGTATATTTTTTTTGAAGAATTTACCATATTGGTGATAGAGTATAAAAACTGAACTATGTGAATTTGTGCTCAACTTGGTATCCTAACATGCATATGTTGGTCCACTCATTTTTGCAGGGAGTTCTGGATGGGAAATACGATGATCTTCCTGAGCAGTCATTCTACATGGTTGGTGGCATTGAGGAAGTCATGGCCAAGGTAGAGAAGATTGCCAAGGAGTCTGCTGCTTAATCACATCTGATTTTTGCTACTTTATTTTCTAGAAACTTTACAAACTTGATAGTAATTGGTGTTGGCATCGCCAGCATCAGGAGTTGAATCGCATTTTCATTTATTCCAATATTTGCTTGAATTGTTGACTTTTTGTAGAATAGTGTTGAGAAGAGAAAATGAAGGAAGAACGTGCTCAAATATACATCCTTGTTATCTTTCATGCAAATAAAAAAAAAGTCAAGTATGTTTGTATTTAACCTACTTAAGATGAATGTGAGTGAAAATGGATACAAACTAAGTGTAGAGTCCTGTATATATAGTCAATGAAAGTTACAATAAGGATAAAAAGGTAAAAAGAGAAAACTTAATAAGCCCTAATAAACTAGATTGTTGCTATATCTCCAACACTCCCCCTCAAATAAGGCGCAAAAATGTCAACTAAGTCAAGCTTGACAACAGAGTCCTGAAGAATAGATAGAGTGACAGGTTTGGTAAAAATATCTGCAACCTAATCACTGGTCCTCACAAACGATGGAGTGACAATACCACTGTTAACCTTCTTCCGAAGAAAGTGAACATCGATCTCTATATGCTTCATCCTTTCGTATAATATAGAGTCAGAAGCAAGCTGAATAGCAAATCGATTATCACAATACAATGTAAGTGAAGAAGTCACTGAAAATCCTAACTCGCCAAGAATTGATCGTAGCCATATAATCTGACATGTGTTAAGTGTCACTGCCCGATACTCTGCCTCTGCTAACGAGCGAGAGACAACTGACTATTTTTTGCTCTTTCAAGATATAAGATGAGTCGCTCGAAAAGCACAGAAGCCTGTAGTAGATCTACCGTTACATGTTTCCCCCATAATCTAAATTTGAATAACAGGCTAGAGAACCAGTTTGAGATCCTGATGCATAGAACAACCCAAGTCCAGGACAAGACTTGAGGTACCGAAGAATATGATAAACTGCATCAAGATGAGGCTGACATAGTCTGTGCATGAACTGACTAACTCGACTGACAGTGAATGAAATGTCTGGCCTAGTGTTGGCTAGGTAGATAAGTCTACCTACCAACCTTTGATACACAGACGAATCTCTCAATTCTTCACCTTCAGCAGTAAGCTTTAGGTTTGGAATTATGGGTTATGATGCCGGTTTGCACCCCAGCATCCATGAGAGAAGATCCAAAACATACTTTCTCTGAGAAAGAATAATACCTCTACTGCTATGGACAATCCCAATCCCAAGAAAGTATTGCAAAAATCCAAGGTCCTTCACATCGAAGGCCTTCCCAAGGTCTACCTTGACCTGCACAGTCCCAAAAATATCATCTCCAGTAATAATAATATCATCAACATATACCAAAAGGATGACACACTGTCCAAAAATATTTCATCAAATGAAGCAGGTATGATCAGAATGACATTCGGTAAACCCTAAGCATAAAATTACATCACTAAAACGAGAGAACCAGGCTCGTGGTGACTGTTTTAGTCCATAAAAAGATTTACACAGTCAACACACCTTTCCACCATACTTCCCCTCACCACGAAAGCCCGATGGTGTATCCATATAAATAATCTCACCCAGATCACCATGAAGAAATGCATTCTTCACATCCAACTGATAAAGAGGCCAAGAGTACTCCGCAGCCAAAGAAATAATCAGTCGAACAGTAGTCAATTTTCCACGGAGGTAAAGGTAGCACCAAAATCACGACCTGGTACCTAAGTAGAGTCCTTCGCCACAAGCCTAGCCTTGTGACGATCAATAGTATCATCCGCAAGAAACTTCAGGGTGTAAACCCAGCAACAGCTAACAGGTTTTACCCTTGAAGGTAAAGAGACAAGATCCCACATATGATTATGCTGAAGAGCGTCCATCTCTGTCTGCATGGCAAGAACCCATTGGGGCTCCTGCATAGCCTCTGAAACAGAGCGAGGAACCGGCGTATCTGATAAGACCATATTATGAGCCCAAAATGTAGGAGATAGATCACCATAAGAAATATAAGCAGAGAACGGGTATAAAATCTTGGCAGTCCAACCATAACGAACAATTGAACGACGATCACGCCACAAATAACGATGCTCTAAATCATCATCATCCACTGACAATGTCTCATCATGTAAAACGACTGGCTCAGTACTTGCAATCTCATAAGTACTAACAACAGGTACATCAATATGCTCAACAAACTGAGAAGTATTACCTGCATCGCCTGAGGTAGAGGGGACATCAACAGGGGAATGAGAGCGAGGGCGACGAACATAAATCTACAAAGGAAGAGAGGCCAGTGACTCGGCACCAGGGATGAGTGGTTCTGGAGGAGGAGAGATCGATGACTTTGTAGTGATAGTGACCAATGACTCTGGCTCCGGGGGTAATGAAAAAACAAATGAAGTATCATCAACTGGAAGGGCAGACACATAACTGGAAGAAAAATAAGGAATATGCTCAAGAAAGGTAACATCCAGACTATGATACATACGACGCCTAACAGGATCATAACACTGATACCCCTTAGACTAATTGCAATAGCCCACAAAGATATAACAAATTGCTTCATCATCAAGCTTATGACGAGTAGGAGATCGATCCTGAATAAAACATGTGCATCTAAAAATACGAGGGGGGGACCGAAAAAAGTGTTCGCTTAGGAAATAAAACCTGTAAAGGAGCCCTATGTTGAAAAACACGACTCGGCATACGATTGCACAGAAAGGTAGAAGTAAAAACAGTAAAATACCAATAAGATTTTGGCACCCCCAGACCTCTAAGCATACAACGTACCATCCTTATCAGACTCATATTTTTCCTTTCAGCAACGCCATTTTGCTCAGGAGTATATGGACAAGTGAGTTACTGAAGGATACTTTGAGAAGAAAGGTGAGACACTAAGGCATCAGACACATATTCCTTGGCATTATCTGAATGAAGAGCAAGAATAATGACATCAAATTGTGTCTTAATCATCTGTAGAAACTGAGTGATTATAGGGAGTACATCGGACTTCTTATGCAAAAGGTAGACCCGAGTACAACGGGTATGGTCATCTATAAATGTCACATAGTATCGGGCACCTGATAGAGCAGTAACAGGAGAGGGTCCCCAAATATCAGAGTGTATTAGGTCAAATGGCTTGGGTGACTGGTGCATGCGAGGAATATAACTGGTCCTAACATGTTTTGATAGGGAACAGATAACACAGTTAAGTTTACCACCAACCCAAGCATTGCTTAAAGCAAGAAATAACATACATAAATATTTAAAATTTGTATGTCCAAAACAGTCATGCCACAACTGAACAGTTTGTGAAGAAAAATCATAACGACAATTACTAGATAAAATACTAGCATGCAAGCTAGGAACAGATAAAGATAAAACAGGTGCAGGTGATGTAGGTGGAGGAACTAGTGAAACTGGAGGCAGATCACCAAGAAAATACAGTCCATCTTTCTCATGTCCCCTGATAATAATCCTCCTAGTACTCAGGTCCTGCAAATAACATGAATCAGATAAGAACACAACCGTACAATGAAAATCTCTGGCTAACTGATGCATAGATAATAGATTCATGGCCAACTTTGGCGCATGAAATACCAAACGTAATGTAAAGCCATCTGGGAGGCGGATTGTACCCCTATTAACAATAGGGGCATGTGTCTCATCTGCTAACTGAACATGTGTATGTAACTACTCGTCAAAAGTGGTGAAGTGATGGGCTTCACCTGTCATGTTACCATTCGCACCCGAGTCCAGCATCCAAAGGGGAGACGGACAGGCATAAGCATGAAAGACACGATGTATGCCTGTAGTGGTAGTCGAACTCTGAGAAGTCAGAGCAGACATAAGTATATCCAATCGGGAAGTGATAGCATCCATATCACTCTGCCAAGGAGGAACAGTAGCAGGAGTAGCGGTAGTAGATAGTGGTACCTCAGCAATAGTAGCAGTACAACCACGAAAGGCGGCTTAAGCTCTGGATGGAGCTTCCAACAAATAGCCCTGAGATTTCCTGGTCGGCCACAATAATCACACTGATGAGAATCCCTCTGTTTACACTGATCTGGGACACCCTGACGGCACTAGTCCGAGCACTGCCCACCCCTAATTGAGGATCCTGAAAGCACTGCCCACCCCTAATTGAGGATCCTGAACGAGACCCTACAGTTGCTGCAAGGGTCATATGATCAGTTGGAGGAGTCAAGGCCACAATTGAAAGTGGTGCAATACAGACGCAATGCTTATGCTGCTCAATCATCGCATATACCCCATAAAGAGAAGGAAGCATCAACATCGATAAGCTCTAGGAACGAGGTCCCTCAAACTCATCACGAAGCCCCATAAGGAACTTGTGAATCCTATCCTCATGCTCTGGAGTATGCAAGAATGTTGCTCCCTCGGGCTCTATCCTTGGAATAGCAGCAAGAGGACGTAGAATCTCATACTCAAGCCAGTGTTAGGTCAAATAGCCATAATAATCCTGAACAGTCATATCTCCCTACCGAGCATATGAGAGCTCCTGAGAAAGCTCATAAACACGAACTCTTCGTCCTGACTGGGAATACGTCTCTAATAATGCGCTCCATAATTTCAGAACAGAGCTATGAAACTGGTGTATCCTACAAACAGATGGCTCCATCGAACCAAATAACCATCCAAGAATGGCGCAGTTCTCAGAGAACCATGTAGAATATCTAGGGTCGGCATCAGCTGGCTTTGGGTGAGATCTCGTCAGCCAACCAAGCTTCCTTACACAGCCCAAGAAAAGTTGGAATGAACGTAACCACTCTGCAAAGTTACGACCATTCAACAACTATGCCGTAACCTTCTAAGAGATCATTCTCGGCATCATCGGTAAAGTAACTGTGCCAGTAGGTACAGTGTACTGGTCAAACATAAAAATAGGAGAAGCCGACGGTACATGCCCGGTAGAAGTATTAATAAAAGCCTCAACAGTAGAGGTCTCTACGGTAGGAGTCTCTAGTCCCTCAGTAGCAGCCATGACAA